AGTCCCAGCTACTCGGGAGGCTGAGGCAGTAGGATCGCTTGAGCCCAGGAGTTTGAGGTTGCTGTGAGCTAGGCTGAAGCCACAGCACTCTAGCCCCGGCAACATAGTGAGACTCTGTCTCAAAAAAAAAAAAAAAAAAGAGTTGTTTATCTGCAGGCACGAGGAAGCAAAGTATATGTCTTGGGAAAATGCCAAAAACTCAAAAAATGTGAATTTTTACAAAATGATATTCTATTCTGTTCTTTTATTGTTTTAGTCTTGATGAAAAGATTGATTATGGAAAATAGTTTTCCAGTAATTCACTGTAGTGTTACTTTTTTGTATGAGATTGGCTGATGGTAATTCTGAAGGATGATGTTCCCATAAAACAATTATCTAAAGATACTGGCAATAACATTCAAACGGTGATGTTCTATATTCATAACCCTTTGAGCATGAGAACAACACAGCTTCATGGGTGCTTTTCTACATTTTATACAGTGTGCTTTTATGTATTTATTTATATAGGTATATTTTTTATTTCAGAATATTATGGGGGTACAAATGTTTTGGTTACATAAATTGTTTTTGTACTGTTTGAGTCAAAGTTATGAATGTGTCCATTATATATTTATTTTTCTCGGGTTCCTTAGGATATATAGAGTCCGTTGGAATTTGGATGCTAGTTGCTTTGTTAGGCCAGTATTCTCAAATTAATGCCTCATTTGGGTGACTTTGGGCAAAAGCAAACACTCATTCTTGCTTTTTTTCCTTGCTCCAAATCCTTTGACGATAGCACTTTTGAAACTTCAATTTTAACTTTCTTCTTCTTTTTTTTTTTTTTAAAGAAACAAATCAGGAGAAGTGAGATGGAAAGGGGACATCAATATTAGCATTTCCGTTACAGATAATTTAAGGAAAATTAGGAGAAGGTATTTTGATCATGTCGGATGTAATCTCTTTCAGTAAAGTCTCTTTCTCCTCCCCCGCACCTCCATTCATATGCGTTTTATCTAGAGTCAAGAGATGGTTGGATATAATGTTGGCTCTTTTTACCCAAGTTGTCATTGTTAAAAGTAGCATCATGATACCTGTCTAGTGCTTTCAAGTCTCAAGACAATTTCTGGCCGTTCAAAGATGATTTTAAAAAGCTCTTGGGGTTAACAATAAAAAGCATCTGGGGGAGATGGATTATTATCCTCCTGTACGCTCAGGTACACATACCTTGTCAAATATTCTTTCTTTTCCTTATTGTCCCTGTGCTAGAAAAGTTCTCCAGGTAATTGCCTTTTGAAACTGGGATTGGGCGTTGCCCAGCCTAAACATGAATATCTTTGCTGGTAAGGAATTAGTACTTTCTGATAGCCGGTTTTAAAAGCAGGTTGTTAATAGAAAACACTGAGGATGGCACGGATTTTTGTCTACAGCCAGGAGTACATAACTCAACTTTATTCTAATTGAAACTTCCCTCTAAGCTAACAATGATCATTTAATCAGCAGCCTTTTATCCTAGCATTCAGCTTATGATTTATCTATCTTACTTGCAAAAATAGCACATATAAGGTCATCTAATCATTTATAAATGCTTGAAACGATAATGTGTGTAGAGTTCTAGCCCTAGATTGATTCATGGTAAATTAGGCCACAGGCCAGGGAAGTGAGTCTGCAGATATTCTGGGTAGTACCCTTTTGCTGCTCTAGATGCCATCCCTCTTCTCTAGCACATAAATCCACAGTGTGCTTTTATATATTTATTTTTCCAAATGGAGAAAACCACTATGTGAAAGGAATTAGAGAGTGTCTCTTTCTCAGGCAGGATTCCAGCTGTGGATTATTTTATTAGACATACCATTTCAGAGATTAGGGGTGGGGTATCAAAAGAAATGTACTTCATCTCAAAGCTCTGTGATCTTCAAGGCTGACAGATTCTGTTAAACTGATATATAATACAGTACCTAGTAACTCCTTTTTTGGCCTCAATAGCCTGATGAACTGAGATCATTAACTGTGCTTGCCCTTTGTCTTTCGGAATTGACCTTTTGCTGATTTGAATCAGCAGCAGTGAACAGATCTCTTAGTTTTGAAGTTCTGGCTCCAGGAAGCACAAGTATGGAAGATTTCAGGTGCTAGGCTTTAATATTCAGAGCTTTTCTTCCAACTCGAAAGGTAATCACTACTTAAATAAATTTATACTTGAAAGATCTTGGATATTTTCATTTAAGGATCTTTGATATTAATTGTAATCTTTCATGAACAGACGAGTATAAAAGGTCAAATTTAGGGTTTCCATATTCTTGAGATCTTGCAAAGATTAACTCATTGATAACAGATGGCTAACATTTATGCCAATTTTTAAGTTTCTAGATAATGAACATGTAAGATAGTTATTGTTTATCTAAGAGTGTTGCTTATGTACTCTGCAAGTGAAAATCTTACTTTCAAGCCACATTAAAGAGTATTGCTAAGAATTGTAGTTTTAAACTTGGTTTTCTGAAAATGTTAATGATACTGAATAATTACAATATGTCCTTCTGTTGTAACATGCTTATTTAATACCTGATGAAACAGTTGATATTTTCATCAATTTCAGAAGCTGCATAGAGAAAATCTTCATCCGTTTTTATAGATTTACATCTTGAGAGTCTACTTTTACTGTTGGTCAAAGTAATTTCTTTTAAGGAGTTGGAAGAACTCTAGGACTAGAGATGGGTTTTGCTTAGAGAGCACTAGAGGAGTCAACCTGCCCTGGATAAGAAAATTTTGCATTTGTATTGTGCTTCGTAATTTACAATTTCATATAGTTTCTCATTTGACAATCATAGCAAATTGAAAGTGAACGTGATAGGTGGCATTGTACAATTTCCATTTTCTAACTTGTAATTAAGGTTTTTGAGTTATTTAAAGTATTGTTATGAATTACTAAATGGGATCAAACTTCTGTCTTTTAATTCCTAGTCTGAACT